TCTTAGCTCAGTTCCTAGCAGAGGGGTGTGCTTTTCCTAAAAGTCACTGCTCCAGCAGGCATGTGTAATTTCCATGACTGTCTATGACAGTTATAGAACAAAGGCTGTGAACAAGTCTTACCCTAAGAGGTGGTTTCCAGAACAGCCACGTTTTAAGAGAACTGTTTTGTCACCCCTGCCAAGGGAAGTAACCCAGTTGTGAGAGAGGGGAGACGCAGGTGCTCTCCTGCTTTATGCATCGTTCTCAGATTTGTCAGCGAAGTTTTTTGCAGTATCTGTCTTATTGGTGGCAATGTCACAGGCAGAAAGTTTCCAAGCGGGATTTAAGAGTCTGGCCTGTGGTTTACAGCAAAGGCAGCTGGAAGAAATCACGGTCCTGGTTTGTGAACTGGGAACATTCCCTTGGTGACTACTGAGGGAGACCAGAGGGAGGAACTACACAGGGCATCTTGATACTACTACAGTGAGCATTTTGAAATGCTTAGAGATAGCAGATTATACAATTTTTTTTCTAGTTGCAGCTGTCCATTATGTGTTATTAGTGCACATTCATTCGTCTGTTGGCTAATAATTATTGAAAATAATCCTGTTATCGGTATGGTCTCTTGTATTAGAATTTTGTGAGAAGCTTTTAGGCAGGACTTTTCAGGAGGATTAAGAATTCACAAATGGGGCCAGATTTCTCAGAGACTTCAGCTTCCTGCTAGATCTCTGTCATATCTGCCTCTTTCAAAGGCCAGGCTCACTGGAACAAAAGGTGCTGCTTGCTGCTTTTCAGTCTTGAAAAATACCTATTGTTTGGGTGCCTTTATGCATGTTAGGCTCTTTTGAAAGTCATGTTCCAGCTGTAGGTGCGGAGCCCTTGAAAACATGCACTTTTAGCTCTCGAAAAATCTACCCTTTAGGTCCATAAACCAAATCAGCCGTAGCAGGGGTATTTTTCTAATCTACAGATAGAGAAACTTTCAGATGAGAGCCATTGATTACCCCAAGAAATCAATATTCAGTGTACATCAAGGGCCCATTTCTTCTCTCCTGATATTATCAGAAAAGGGATCCCATTGCAGTCAGTGCAACTACTTGCCCTGTAAGAGAGTTAAAACAATAGAAGCAGACCTGCTTGTATAGAACAGATTTAGCTGGCTGCCTGCCTGGTGCGAATCCATCCTGCATGAACTCAGTGCAACTTTTAACAAAATCTCACAATAATGAAAGCCCGTACTGAACACTGTTTAAGAATACTCAGAATTGCACTGGCTTAAGTTTTCACCTTGAATTACCTAACATTAGAGCTGAGGCAGAGACCCCTGAAGATCTCCACTTCAGTCCCTTGCACACTCTTTATAGCTAAACCTCTTACCCTGTCACAATTTCAAATGGTGGCAGGTCTTCCCGCTTCACCTTCTTCTTCTTCTTTTTCTCCTCGCTTTCTTCTGCGTTATCAGGTTCGCCGTTCTGGGTGTTGCTGGGCTCCTCCTGCTTTTCTGCCATCTTCTTAGATATAGGGATACTCGGTTACGGCCACTGGGAAAAAGAAAGAGCAATTTCTGAGAGCTCTCAGGGAGCAGAGGCAGCAGAGGGGGGCAGGGAAAAAACAGAGCTGGGAGTTCCTGCACTAGACACAGCTGTCAGGAGCTAAATATGGAACATAGCAGCAATGATAGAGATTGGATGGGGTAGGATGACCCAGGGCTCTCAGATGTTGCCTCCTTGCCTTGCTTTTGCTAGGACTTTTTAATGATCCTCCTTGCTCCCCTTTTAATTTAAAATTAAGTGACGACTTCACTGTGGGCGGGTTAAGCAACGGATGGAAAATCCTGGAAGCATAAGTACCTATTTATCCATTAGTATGGCAGATAACTGGCAAGATGGACAGCCGGCAGCTTCTTCATCTGCCTTCATTTGCCAGTTTATTACATCGCTGACCTTGAAGGACCACTGTTTTGGCCAGGGCAAGAGGAGGAAGGGGCGTTCTCCGTTTGTTTTGTTGAAAAATCCCCCTTGTTGGTGGATTTAGCCAAGCTGAATCCTAATAGAGTCACCTGAAGCTTTTCAGCAGTGGTGCCCCGACGAGCAGGAAACCTGCCTTTCCTTCCACCCTGCTCTTCCATGAGGGGGACAGTGAAAACAGGGCTTGAACAGGATGAAATCCTGGGCTTGTTGGAGTTAGCGTCACAGATCCTATTGATGTAAATGCAAGCCAGAACTTGCAAGTACTTTTAAGTTAGGCTTACAATTCACAGAGGGGCAGTATTTCTGGTGCAGGGCCATTCCAGTTACGTGTGCTGAGCATCTGCCCATTGTTCTCTTTTTTTTTTCTCTCTGTTGCCTGAATGTTTGAAAAGCACACAGCATACTGGGGGGCGGTAGCATAAATAAGAGTAAGCATTTGGAAACTGCTCCGTTTAAGGACTATGGCAGTATTTCTTTGTTTCTTTTTGTTTCTTTCTTTGCTGTTGCTGAGGATTCAGATACTGGACAAACGATTGCACTGGGGCCAAAGAATCGGACAGATAGGAGCCTGTGCTGGAGGTGTGATGAGAAGTGCAGCGTGTGTGTGGACCTGAAGGTTATGCAGTAGTAACTGGGACTGGTGTGTGCAGTGTGCTGAGGACAGAGTACTGGAGACATTCTGGTAAGGTACTTATTGTGACTTGCCTGAACTAGTGTGGGTGTGGAACGTGTCTCTCATACAAAGAGAAATGAAATAACCATTAGGGGGACTATAAAGATTTTATGGACGCAAGTTTGGGGTGTTCGATTTGCTCGGCACTGAATCAAGCAAATCTCTGAAAGAGGCTGCGGTAACTTGGAAGGATACTCCAGATTAGTTTAGGTTTTACATTAGTGCTATAAAGGGGTCTATATATTTGGGTTTGGGGTGGTTGTATCCAGCATTGTGTGAAATCTTTCCAATTTCTCGCTCCCAATTTCAATCACTTAAAATTCATATAAAACCCCTGTGAACCAAGCTTAATGAAAACCTGAGTAAGACTTTTCTCAGAGACTAATCCTGTTATGACATTAGGGTGGAACTAAACGGAAAGCGTGTAGCCGTGCAGAACTCATGTCCTAGCCAAAGCATATTGGAAATCAGACTTCCAATATCTTGGGCTTTGCACTAATCTCAGAACCCACCATCATCATGGTTTGGATAAATATGAAATATTAAACTATACTTGGTTAAGTATTCAGTCTATACTTACTGGAAGACCTGCTTGTTAGTTTGAGGGGGATAGATTGTATTCCTCCTAGAAATCAGAGAGGCACAAATCCCTGCTTTCAGGCAAAACTCGTTCTTTATGATGTCATTGTAGCCAGCTCTTCTACAATTTTAGAGTGGTCCACGCTACCAAAAAGTTAAATAAACTTGTGCCTTTGGGTAGATAATTTGTCTTCTGGCTACTTGCTCTAGCCGCTTTGCTAACAACAGCCTAACCTTTCTATGTTTCTATGAGAATCACAGTTCCCTTTGTAGCTCTTCATTAGTAGCATCATTGAAATGCAGTTGTCCTGGGGACAGAGCACACCATCCATCCCCTTGCTCCCACACTGTTTACTAGTGATGAGAAGTTGTTTATTTGATGATTGACACAGCTGGCATGGGGAGTATTGTGATAACAGCACAATCAACGATTTGACAAGTTCCGAGACATCCTATCCATGGTACATATATCTTTCCTTTTCATGGTGCAGGAATTTATTTATTTTTAAGCTTAAAATACTTTTCCTGGAGGGCAGGTGTAGTGTTTTTCCTCTTGCCTGGTAACTATGCTCAAATTCCATCTCCCATGTCCAATTACTTTCACCTTTGACATTTCAGGCAGTGACTTGGGGGATGGTGATCCTCTCTTAATGGGTAATGGCTTGTCTCCTTCTTCCCCCTAAAGTTTAAAAAAAAAGCAACCCAGCCCCTCCTCAGTCCCTCTGACCCACTTTTCTTTATTTTTGGAAGCTCTTGACTGCTAGGGTCCCATCTTTCCTGCAGCCTTTAGCTTTCACTGGCCTGGCCTCTCTGCAGAGTTCTGTGCTGAGCTCTAATCTAATCTCCGGAATGTGGCACTGAGACGCTGCCTCTACCCAGCCATTACCCAGCTGCTTCACAGCTCCATCTAGGGCAGTGCACTAAATAGTCATGATTCACCCCCCTGCAGCGTCTGCCTACGCCAAAAATATAAAGGGACACCACCAAGTTGCTGTCAATCTGACATTTTGCATCAGGGACGAAAGCTTTGATCAATTTTGTTCAGTTGTTTTTAAATGACCCTAGTTCCCCCCCAAGCGGGTGCGTGTATATGAGAGTGTACATGCATGGGCCTAATGGCAGAAGCCAGTAATGGAAATTTTTTTCCATCAGCTAGTTCAGGGAAGGAGCTAGGGTACGGGTGCAGAGAGGTGCCCGAGAGGCAGCTAGTCGCACGTAAGGGCTTCCCAGTGGCACTTGGGTTAACTAAAATCATTGCACTTGCCAATCAGCATTCTCATAAAGGCTTCCTTCCACCCTGCCCCTCTCCCCACAGATTTAATGTTCTATTTAGTTGACTATGAATTTTGTGCTGCTCTGAGAGCAGTGGAATCTCTTTAGCCACAGAAGAGGCACAAGAGATCTGCATGCATGTCAGGTCTCGCGTGGTGAGAATGAGAATGAGCCGGCTGCCTCTCACCGGTTGTTCCCCCTGCTGCCTCTCACCGGTTGTTCCCCCTGCTGCCTCTCACCGGTTGTTCCCCCACAGCAAGGGCTAAGTCATGCTCATTTACAGCAGAACCCTGTAGCTTTTCCCTGTGACCCAGCGTGCCGAATGCAGCCGGTAGCTCTGAACTCTTCCCCAGTAGGTAATGCTGTTAGGCAGCTGCACCTTGCGTGAGGTAGCCTCCAACAGGAGGGACCAGGACCCTGCACTGTAGCCATGAGATGGGCCATGGAGCCACCTCCCTCTCAGTGGCACAATTCCAAGGTGTGGTTTCCTGCCAGAGGCTGTTCTCCCTCCTGTGACAGAAGTATCCTGCCACATCTGGCAGGCTGTCTCCCTGCCACGTAAAATGCTTGAATCCACTGTATCAGGGCATCATGGCCAGAATGCCTGAGCAGAGCTAGATGAAGTATTAGGGAGGGGAATGGGTAGGCCTCAAAGACACCAAATCTACAGTAAGACTTGAAGAGCTTTGTCTGCAAAAAGTGGGAATGCTGCCAGCAAAGTGCACCAGCAGGGCAAAGCTAAGATGGCAGCCTGTTCTGGGAAGACCTTTCTGGCTTTGTTGCGTTCTTGGATATTAAGATCTGATCCTGCATCCATCCTAAGTCCAGAAAGAGTTTTTCCACTGACTTTAGAGGCATCTTCAAACAATCTGGTGACTTGTCTCCTATCTTAAATGAGTATTTCCTGTAGGAAGTTAAAAACATTGTACCTCATTCCCTTGATCTATCTCCCAGCATAGTCATCTGCTGGTACTCTCCTAATTGCAGGAGTTACTTTCCTACATGCAAATGGTTGTTACCCTGTCCTGATCACAGAGCGGGAGTAGAGGAGACCTGGCTGCAAAAGTCCTTGCTAGGAAAGGGAGGCTTTATTGCATTCTCAGGCTGGAGGAACATTTTTGGATAGAGCCAAGAATGAAATAAGATACTGGCTGCATGAGTCATGGCTCAGACGTGCTCTCTATTCCAAGGGGACAGCTGGTGGCAGTAACAAAACATCTCCCTAGATACATTGTCTGGCAGTGATCCCCCTCCTGCTTTTTCCAGCTGTAACTACCGTTACGTGATAAATAAATAAACGCTCTGACAGTGATGTGCAGAGGCAGCTTTCCTTCCCTCAGCCCTGTAAGCCCTTACCTGCCTGTTCTACCCCTTCCAACCCACCGCAGGACCATAATGCCAAGATCTAAGAGAAGGGATAGGAAAACACTGCTTTCAGGCGCTGCAGAATCCAACAGGTATGCCCTGAATAGTGCGCATGTCCCCTTTTGTGCTGGATGTTAGTTCTCTGCGAAAGGCAGTACAGCAGAGCTGAAGTGAGTTGCGGTGCAGGGAGAGATAAGTGATGCTCTCACCTCCTTGCCTTCCTTATCTTCACTGCTAGAGCCTGGCCTCTCTGGCCCTCGATTCCCCAGTGCCCAACACACACACACCCATTAACCACACTGCTGTAGAGCAGGGACGGAGTCCATTCTGTTGGCAGACACTGCTGGCTGTCTGATTAATTGGAAGCCCAGTTTAAAGTTAATGACAGCTCCAGGCAGCACAACTGCCTTCCTGTTGAGTTTCTGCTGCTGCAGTTTTACTGGGAGCTGTTCAAGGGTAAGGTCAGCCCTAGCCATGCTGTGGGTGCTCAAAGCCACAGGAATGCATTTCTGCACCACCCAGTGCTATCGAAAGGGTAGCGGGGAGAGCTGGAGGCTTAGTTGGCAGTCTTCAGCTTGCATATGCACCCTAGCAAATCCTCTCTAGCGTTTAACTCTACGTTTTAACATAGCTCCACAGACATCAGCAACTCAATTATTAGGTTCCTTACCATTGGAGCCAGGGTGTTTTCTGAAACAGCTGGTGAATTATTAAGTGAGACAAGGGTTAGGAAAATAAGCTGGATTTTAAGTCAGGAAGATTTTGTTTATGCACAAATATTGTGTATCCAGCAGCCGGGGGTGTGCCCTTTGGGCTAAGATCAAGTGTACAATCAGTTTAATATCAGATATGTCGTTCTGGAAAGACTGGCTGAAGTTAGAAGAGAGGGATCATCATTAGACACGGTGTCTCCTCTCTAAATGCCACGACTCTGTGAAAGCTGTCACCAATGCATGGCCTTTGTCTGAGTCACTGCTGGATCACATGGACCACGACAGGTCCCCTCGTGGGTTATGAATGTTTTCTCACACAGGGATGGGACATGGTATCCACTCCAGAAGCTAGTCTAGAGGGGGCTGAACCAACACCTTGTGTGCCTGCTAAGGTGATAGGGATCCACTCAGCCAGCCGCCTGGTTAGTGCTGGCATAAGTGAAACTTCCCAGTGCTCCTTCTGGATTCAGTGGGAAAAAGAGCCCTTCAGAAAGACAATGTACAGCAGGGAATAGGGCCCTGAGCTCACGCAGACGAGACCTCAAGTGAAATACTCTCTCTCACAAACAGGCAAAGTTTCCCAGAATTCGACGAGCCAGGGTCCTAACCTTGAACTGGATTTCTAGCACCTCTCTAGGCCTTTCTTTCCTCTTCCATATTGTCTATTTGACTGTAGCACAGGGTCGGATCCAGGCAAGGTATGCAACAGAGGGCCGCATGGCCACGCGCTTGTTCCAGGCAGGATGTCACCGGGAACACGAACCATTTCATGTCGCAGTAGTGGGAAACCTGGGCCCCTGCAGTTGCACTGGGGCAGAGACGCTCTTGCTCTGCACTGCACAATATAAATAAGAAATGTTCTAGATGGCTGACTGTGAAATGCTGTTAAAGTTATTTTAACACAAAGAGTTTTAGTATCTGTTTAAATAGCAAGAATGCTAGACAATGCTTTAAATATTAATGCAAGAGGGTGCTTTGTGGAATTTAGATTTGTCAATTGATTTTAGGCTATTGCCTATATTGTACATAATGTTTAGGAACATTTGCTATTTTTGCTGCCTGCAAGAAAGTGCAAATTGCAAAGAAAAACTCTCTGTAGATTTATAGGTGGACTGGAAGGAAGAGGAACTGAAATGATGTCAAGAACAAGTCAGCTAGTCGCACTGGTTGGAAAAATGGGGAGGTAGAGAGGGCAAGCATGAAAAGTTCCCCAAAGATCTGTTATTCTTAATTCAAGGCTTTACTTTACCTGGCTGAAAAAATGGGAAGAAGGGGAGAGAGGAGGAGTGTATGAAAGCTGATCACTTATGTATCCATGTATTTAATTTGGAATGTTATTAAAATATTGCAGATTTTAAGCAGATCTAGAGTCACTTACTGACTTAAATGTGATTTAAATAATAGCTTTCCCATTTTAGAAGCAGAGAACCGTATACAGACATGCATTTTTCCTCATGGCTTCACTAGATGGCTCTGCTTCTCTCTAGTCCTCGTGACTTTGCCATGCTAACTAGGAAAGGACAGGCATACCAGATGCCCTAAATCATTCTTAACTCCAAAGAACTGAATCTCCAGTGCAGATAGTAGTTTCTTTTTCAAAAGAGATAATTTATGTCTTCCTGTCCTTTGGCATGTGGCTCCCTGGGAGATACAAACTAGGCATTACTATAAATAAGCGCAGTGGTAACATACAGCCATATAAAGCCCTGAGATATATAGGTGGGTGTTTTTGAGTAGCTTGTGATCTTTCTAGTGCTGTTTGCTGTGCTCAGTGCTTTATAGCCCTACTCCTGCTTACAGTCACATCTGTCCAGGGGCCTGTTCTTACGTATCCTTTACTGGGGAGATGTCAGCAATGTGCTTGCAACAGCAGTCCTGAGTAAAGGTGTCCTGTAGCCAGAAGGGAAAAGTAATGGATGGGATCAAAATGATAGAACAAGATATAATGCCAAATTTTAAAAGGATGCCACAAATTTCAAGTGCTCTGAACTATTGGTATTTGTTTCTCTTGGGCCTAGCTTTCAGCCATGCTGAGCACCCAGCTCTTCCACTTACGTTAGTTGGACCTGGGAAGATTCAGCCTGGAAATGAGGCTTGACGTGACTCAGGAAGAACCTCCAAACCCGGAATCAAAGCTTATCAAAGGGACCAGCAAGAATTAGCTTCCTTAACTTAAACTGTGGATGAAGTATAACAGAGAGGCCTGTTATGGGGATGCATCCCCAAGTGAGCGTGTCTCTGCTCTGCAGGGGCGCTGACAGAAGGAACACTTATGACCTTTAGGCTTGAAACCCCACAGCTTTGCTCCTAACATGCACTCAAGAGTTTGGCTGCTGGAGCCGAGCCCTGCAGAGCCTTGTTGCCAATCCCCTTCTCTTTGCAGCCAGAGCACAGGCCATGGACTCCAGACAGGATCCCTTGAGCTTTTTCCAGTCCCTTTTGCAAACCTAGTGCCACACTAGTAAAGCAAGAATAACTTGGTTTTATTTATTTTCCAAACAAAAATGTCTTATTTTTATTAAAAGCAAATACAACTTATTTTACATCCCCAGCTAAGCCACCTCCCCCTCCCAAATAAACCTCTTCCTTTACCTACCCACCTTAACCTACAGTCAGCTGCCAGGAAGAAGATCCACTTACCACTTTTCTTTACATACATCGCTTCTTTCAATTAACAAAAATATTAGTAAATATTCCCCCAATAGACAGCAACATTTAAGTCTCAGATCTAGCAAATGCAAGGGCCAGAATAAAGGATGGAAAAGAGCTAATCCTTTCACCTTTTGTGTATGATTCTGTATCACGGGTTGGTCACATTCCTCTTGAATACTATGTATAGTTTAATCTTTCCTGATTAATTCCTGATTTCCTGATTAATTTTTAGGAATGGAAAGACTCTAGAGTAAGATACCTGTACTGCACCTGACAGACTTTGCATGGGGCATTTGACAATCATGTAATTACAACCTTCAAGACAAGGTTAGCAAGCTTTTAATTTTACAAAAGCTCCTGTGTTTCAGTACTTAAAAATCTTTTAAGTATTTTTTCAAAGGCACTGATGTTAGTTTTTCTTTTCTGGTGAGGAATAGCACACAGAGGTAGAAGAGAGGAATTTCCTCTTGGGACAAGCATTTGCATTCTAATCATTGTTGCTTTATCCTGGAGCATGAAACTCAAGAAGTGTGATACTCCACAAATAGAAGAAGTCAAAGCGCCCAGTCTCCTTTACTGGCACAACAAGACAGAATTACTGCTTGCTCAGTAGTTGTCAGATAAAAAGGTAACGGTAAAAAGCGCAGACCAGAACGAAGCAACAGCAAGGATAGCAAAAAAACAAGTAAATTTTTTAAAATTGGTTTGCACGAGTGAAGGGCATTTTTGTTTGGTCCCAGAAGAAGAGATAAGATCTACTATGTGTGTGAACAAATTCTGCTCTCTTGGGGACTGGTAGCAGTTCTGAGGGGTTTCACTGATTCTAGGATTGCTACTCTGAATTACACTGGTATAAGAGATCCTAATTTGACTGATGGAATTTGACCTGGTACAATTAAGGTCACCATACAGCTGTAGCCCCCAAGCCTCTACAGTGCTGGAGGAAAAAGTTCCCAGGTTAAAGATGCATGGTTACCTTAAAGGAACACAGAGGTGCATGGCACAAACTTTTCTTTCACCCGGCCTTGATGAAAGGAGAGGAGGAGGTATGTTCTGATGCCTGTCCTAAAGTGAATGCCCCCAAATTATTAGATCTTGGTTCACATCAGCATAGTTTAATTTCACCGAATGCCTTCATTTCTGTCCAGGTCTTATTCGGTCTTTCCTGGTTTTTGCTCAGGGTTTTCCTTCCAGATGTGGATTGTCAGACAAGTCGCCATGGCCAGCCATCCCAAGTAAGGCACCATCAACAGCGTTGCTATCTTGTTAATGCGGTACCATGAGCACATCGTGCCTATCACCAGTCCATCTAAGCACAGGATGTCAATCAGTGCCTAGAGAGCAGAGAGAAGAAAATTACTCTGACACTCACTCTTGGGACCAGACCATAAACACTCCTACTAAAGGCAGTGAGGTAAAATAGCACTCAGGGAAATTTAGCACTGAAAAGCCACTTAGACTGGTCCTAAACCCCAGAACCTTGGCTCTGAACTTGAGTCAGTGAGACCTGAATGCATCACACCAGGAGGCAAGACCAATGTTAGTTGTTTTTGTGGTCAAGTTCCACAGATTAACAGACTGTTTATGATGATCGGTGGCCTCTCCTGCTGTTAATGCCTATGCAGACAGATCGGCAGCAATTGCTTATGATAGTACCAATAGCTGTTATCACTTAACAGACTTTCTAAACGTATCTTTCTTGCACAGAGTGACGAAATTCGGATGGAAGCATAAGCCCCACTTTGCGCCTCCATAATCCCCAGGCCTTGACACCTGAGCTAAGTGCTTTTTGAATACACCACCGTGTTAACGCCATGTCTTTCTTTGGTGTGTATCCTCCCACTGGCTCCACTAGGCGCGTTGCATTGTATTGCCCGATAAGCCACTCACAGCTAATACGCCTCTCGAGAGACCCTAACTTTGCTGCTTGCTGGGGCAGGGTGTGACTCTCAGAGAGACTTATCTCTAACCCTGAATCCTTAACTAGGAGATGCAGCAGCTGGACTACTGGCTCCCTGATCTGCCGCCCAGCTCCAGCAGAGCCAGCTATCTGAATGACAGAAACAGAGTGAGAAATGCAAGGGACTGATACCATTGTCTGGAACCACGTGCAACATGAACTATATCTGAGCAAAAGCCCTTCTTTGCAGCTCTGTTTACACTCCTCAGTTATATAATGTTAGTTAGAAACCCTCCAAACCCCCAGAACAGTAGTAGGGACTCCAGCAAACAAGCAGATCAATGTATGTATAGATACATTACCATCTTTAAGTTATGTATACCGAAGAAGAAGGGAGGCCAAGCCCAGTTCAAGGCCAGCTGAGCCCCATAGAGGCCAAGCGGGATGATGGCTTTGCTATTGCAGCCACCCAGGTCATTCCAGATCAGATAAGAGGCATAGCTGTGAAGAGGAAAACCCACATCAGTATTTTGCTGTCCTGCAGTCAGTTCTAGCTCCCAGAGATTGGAATTACTGGAATTTAGTATCAGAGGGCATTTTTCACCTCTTTTGGACTAAGACAACTCTGAGAATGTGACTACAATGCTGTCAACCTCAAATTACATAGATTTTCTTTTCATGGAAGAGTGTCTTGCAAGGTGGGTTTGTATGAGAGTTTTATGTGAGTGAAAGTCTATGTCCCTCACTACTCTCAGACCCATGGTCCATGTCATACCCATGTGGCCCACCTTTTCCCCAGGACAGTTAATGCTTTTAGTATGTGCTCACAGTGGTAAGTGTGGGCTGCATCCCTGGCCAAAAGCATAGCCTGCAGTGTGACTCTGAGGAACTCAGCCCAGAAGTGCACTTCATCTGCTGGGAATAAGTATACGTGACATGCCTTGCTGATCCAGGGAAAAGGAATATCCCAAAAGTGAATGAGCAAAGAGCTTGAAATAACCGCTCTGTTAGGGATCAGAAACGGCAGGACGAGAGATGAAGTGGTATGCAGAACTTACCCCATGCCAGTGTACAGGATGGTCCAAGCAACAGGGAATACTTTGCGGGGTGGACACCAAGAAGGTTTCTTCAGCTTCTCATACCAAGTAGACACTTCTTTGCGATTAATGAACCAGCCAAGGAATCCTCCAACATGAGGCAGGACAATAAAACCAGCGGTATAAGGCCACATCCTTCTTTGGTGAGTTGAAGTAGCCTTTTGCCTGTTTGCGAAAGCAATAATTGATCATCACTGAAAAAGAGCATTTTTTTCCCATCTTAATCTTTCAAGCTTTCTCTCTAATTGCCTATATTTCACTTTAGTGGCTAAGCCAGAAGATAAGTATTTAATGTTGTATTTAGCTCTGCCCCTGACTCCCCTCTGCCTAACTGTGACATGGGGGAAATTATTTTTGTCATGATTATATTTTCTCCTTGATCTGCTAAGCAAACTGGCTCCTCCCTGCTATTTTATCATTTCTTACAATATATGTGTGACAAGGTGCACCTAAGGTGGTTATATCCTTAGAAGACGAGACTGCAGTTACTTTTATCATTCCTCTTCTGAGTCGGCATGCAAAATTTAATGTGCATTCATGGAGGCTACACATCTCAGTAGAGCTGTTATCTCTCCTCTGCCTGCTACTCTGAGTATGGAAACTCAGATCATGGCCAGAAACCCCAGTCTCTTCTGACTTCAGCTAATTTTTCACCATGGATTTATATTTCAAATGGGATCTGTAGTAAGACAATGTTCGTTCACCAGAATTTAAGTGCTCTATGAACCTTGTCTGATCCTCTCCACAGTCCTAGCAGGCAGAGGTGAATTCTTACCTCTTTATCACAAATGGGTAAAACGAGGCACAGCAGCAGCTTCTTGATTTGCTCACAGTCTTACAACAACTTCATTGCATAAAAGGAAGGAACATTTACTTTAATAATTACATTATGCTCCCAGACAAAACAGTGGTGATAAGGATAACATCTAGCATTTCATTCTGTCCCATATCTTCCCCTGCCATCATCAATAGGCTTCTGAACCTGTTGGTGTTGTGTCCTTCCTCCATCTGTCACTGTATTGGCCTTCCCTTTGATCCATTCACGAACTAAAGCTGAATTAGCATTCATCTGGGATAATACATGGGATTCTGCAGGAGTGCAGCAGTTCTGTACTTGCTGTCAGCATCAGCGCAAAAGGCATCTGAGCACCTGCACTTGGGAAAGCGTGTTGTTTTTAGTAATGCAAGAACGGAGAAGCAAACTCAGAAAATTCCCTCGTCCAGAGAAACGTCCCTGGGAACCTGATGGCTCTGAACGCTGGTCAGAGAAACAGAGAGCAGGAAAGAACTGATATGCATAGTCATCTCTGTCTGGGATTTGAATTCACAATTGACACATTGCTATATCCTGTGCTAATTATTATGATTATCATCATGCTACAAAGCATTCATCTTTAGAAACACACACCAGCAGTATAAGCCAATTTACACATCAATAAGGGACAAATACTCCAGACACCATCTCTCACAACTCCTTTACCAAAAAACGTATAGTACTATTAAAGTGTCTATGGAACCAGAAAATTCACCCGACACTGAGCAAAGCAATAGCTGTTAGTCCTGTTTTTAAAGGGTAAAACAGCATTTTAGTATAGCATCTATAGAAAAATAAAATGGGAAAAGTAGACTTTTACCCCCTCCCAACTCCTTTGTAGTTGCCGGACTAGCCTGATGGAGGCTGTAGAAGTAACCAAGGGTTGAAAATAACACATTATGATAACGCTCTCTTTTTGGCTCACAGGTGTTGTAACTGACAGGGTTTGAGCTACAAAAACCTTACCGTCTGTTACTGCCTTTCTCTCCCTTGCAAAGAAAAGGGGTTGGCTTTCCAAGGCCGGCTTCTGTCTCTAATGCTGGTGCTTCTATACAGTGAAGAAATTGCCAGCTGAGTTTTACCTAAATAGCAGAAGAAAGGGCGTGTGTGTGTGGCTCTATCAGATTACACAACAGAGCCTGAACTCTGCAAGAATTACAGGGGATCTTTTGGTGGTGATTGAGTAACCGTCTTCAGAGGGCGGATCCAGCTCCTCTGTTCGAACACCACATCGAAGGAACACATGAGGCTCTGCCTCTTGGCTTGGTTTGCTGACAAGCGTTTTGTCCGTAGGTCAGAGGGTGACTGTAGGTGACAGAGCAGCACCGAAGTATCTGGCTGGGAGTGCATCGCATGTGAGAAAGTATGTGCTGAAGTGTGGCATGTACAAATGAACATGATAACTGGGTAAGAGCTTGTGTCTAAGGAATGGTTGTATGTCAGGTCCATAATAGTATGACTTCTGTGCATGTTATAAGGGTATCAACAGAGCTCTACTGGCTTACTCCAGCTGAGCATCCGGCCCAGCACACGTGTTTATCTATGGCTATGAGTAAAAGACAGAAAGAGCCAGCTGGGTCTATGAGACTGTCTGCCATTTCAGTCCCCAGCGCATTGTTTAACAGAACATTGATTAACCAGATGCTTTCTGTGGTCTCCTGTACGCTAGCCTTTTGGCTAAAATCACTGGAAACCAGCAGAAACTAAAATAAAGACATTACATGAGCACCTTAAATGAAAAAGAAAAAAGCTAGAAATCAATTTCCATTAGTAAGCTGTCTGCAAGGAATGGGGAATTAAACACTAATTTACTTCAGTTATGGGTCATTACCTGAATTTCATGGCCAGAGGCAGGATTGCTGATTCCTAGCAGAACATAATACTGCTGTTATAACATAGAACCAGTGTGATCTTTTATTTTATTGTACTCAGAAGAAAATTATTTTTTGTGGGAAGAGAGAGACAAAAAACTATGTAAAGGGCCAGATTTTCAGTTAGCATAAAATCAATGTACTGTTACTGAGATGATGTGTTTTTATAGTGTAATTGCCACTTTGAAATAACAGATGCAACACACATTAGTCAAGCAGTAGCCACCTGCATATCCTTTCAGAGTCTGTTGTTATTTGCAATTAGAAACTCCTGTCATGCAACAGTGCAGCTACTGTATGTGACAGAGTGGTTTCCGTCACAGTCAGCCACTTCACTGCTGACTGGCAACTGAAGTAGTATTCATGCAGATTGCTGGTTAATATTACCTTCATGAGGCCTTGGCAACTTTGTCAGAAAGCAAGCAATTGTACAGTTTTTAGCTGGTAGTTTTTCCTTCCCTGGGCTTGAGTGCAACACCATGATTACTCAGTGGCATACAGCAGTGAAATTTCCAGGACATTGTGGCGTTTAATATGCTAGATGAATTAAAAATTAAGGGTCACATCACAAGAGTCTTTGTAAATTGGTGAAATTGGGGATGATACTTCCTGACTGGGGAATAGCAAATGCAAGGAGGAAGAAATGACAGAGACAACTACAGGCCTAAAAGTCACTATCAGTCTTGCTTGAGCTTTACAGCAAAGGAAGGGGTAACTGAAGACCCACGGAGGTACGTTGAAAAATGGAGTAATAGGTAACCGATCTGCCAAAGGTAGATTACGGAAGACTAGATCACAGCAGACTAACCGGACGTGTTTGCCTGGACAATGAAGATGAGAATGTTAAAAAGACAAGGATCAGGTTTTGGGAAAAGTCTTTGCTGGCCCTGACCAAGGATCAGTCCTGGGATCCAGACTGATTTTAAATATAGTTTGAGCATGTGCACGGACAAACCACACAAGTGTGTGTACATACCCAAGGCCCCCCTTTTACATATTTGCACATTATTTGCAAGAACACTCTTGCAATGAACCGGAAAGACTTTCTCTAACACAGTGTTGTTTCTCTTTTGTTACCACAGATTTATGTCTCAATATTTCCAGTTTGAATCATTTTACAGTAATACAAGATGAGGTAATATTACCTCTTAGTAAAATAGTTTCTATGCTATATGAGGCTACATTTCTACATATTTCAGTAATATTGGTGCTGCGTTTTAGATCACTACCATATCACTGCAATATGTTTTCATGAAAGAAAAGAGAGGGAGAACTGAGTTATACAACTGTGTTTGTTTTCTTCTTAGCATCCTTTGCATATTGTCCCAAGAGGTTTTCAGTCAATGCAAGATTAATTTCTCAAATATAAAAGCCCTGTTAACCTGAATATATTATTGAAAAACAGCATATTTCAATCTGCCCTAGTTTTGAAAATAGAGATGCCAGGTCAGCTCTTGGCATAAATCTGCAGTACTCCACAGAAGGCAGCAGAGCTTCTTTGATTTACATCAGCAATAAACCTGGCCTGTTTTGTCTACCTCTGATCAGAGAGTATGTTTGCAGAGTTGCCACAAAGGACACAGAGGTGGCCACGGAGAAACCTTTGTGACAATCACCATGCATCTGAAAAATTCAAACCTGCTAGTGTTGACATTGCAAAATAAAACATTTCAGTTTTCAATTTGAAAGGTCTTTTTTATATTTTTGAAAAAAAAATTGCATTGAAAAGTTTTCCATTGTGTTGAAATAATAACTTTAGATAACTTGAAATGATTTAAGAAGTTTCAGCTGATCAATTGTTCTCTTACCTCCTGGTTGAGGTGGCCCTGGGGGATTGATACCCGTAACCCAGTCCAGTTCCACCTCTGCAATTAAGGGTATGAAACAGGCTGCAGAGAAACATTAGCCCTTCTGCCAGCCAGCGCAAGACGTCAGAGTTGCTCAAAACTTGGATGTGGATTTCTTGACCACCAGTCCCTTGCAGCTTGAATTTCCACCCTCTCTCCACTAGAGGGAATTTTAAAACAGACCTTTCTTAGGATCATAGTGCAATTTGCAGTGTGTTAGGAAGTATTACCTGCAGGACTCTTGTCTGTGTACAGCTTGGGCGCTATCTGGATGTACAGGGACACTTGCCCTTCTGTACGGTGTAAGCCCCTTTCTCTCTCTGCTGATTACAGCTGGTCACAGGAACAAACTCTGTCGTGAGATGAATAGTGGAAAATTCCCCTTCCTTTTCAGGGCTTGGCTTTTGATTTCTCATTGCCTGCGAGGAGGACCAGGCGTGCCTCCTGGCTCCCACATCGCAGCTCTTCAGGGCTTGCCTGACACACTCCCATGGCTTGGGACTCTGCGTCCTCCTGGGCGAAGGGGCTCTGTTCGTGGCTAGCCGGGAAGTGGAAGGCCAGACTGAGTTTTGAGGTAAGTTTTGAATATTGGGGCCTCCCGTAGCATTGCTTGTTTGTTAGTAACATTCCTAGTGAAGGCTAGAAGGCTGCCCACTTGTGATAACCGTGAGTGAAATGGTTCAGCCTTATCTATATGCAGAAATTGCACCTCAGTAGCCAAAAGAATGAGTTTTAACAGATACAGTTCAACCCCTTCTTTCATTTTAAGAGTAGTTTAGCATGGGGATAGACAGATTACAGTAAAGAGTCAAATTACCGCAGCTTAGCAAGTTAACTGCTCTCTAGCCAAGCATCTTTTGATTAAACCATGTGCACAGACATAGCCCAGCACTAATGTGACAAAATATATCCCTTCAACTACCATAGCCGGTAATAACTGCTTTATTAGAATACTTGGTAGTGCTTCACTCAAGTCAGCAAGTGCCCATAACGCGGTGACTCTGATGTCCCTGACCACGCTGTGCCCTGTCCCTCACTAGTGCTGCCCCAGTGCATGGCAGGATGCTGGACTTCTGACACTATGAGGATACTACTTTGTGGCCGGGGGTAAAAGGGCTGACATTTTGTCTCTGAGCATGCAGCCTTTGCTTAAGAAAAAGCTGCAGAAGTGGCAGAAAGTCACTGGCAGGGTGCTGTATTGCAGTGGGTGAAGAGAGTTATCACAGCTCAGCTGCTTAGCCATGTCTCACTAAGTCATGGTCTCAACCATTGGATTTATGTTGGATCAGGGGTATCAGGTTTAAAGGGAACACCAATAATAATGATCACAAAGGATTTTATATTGTCTTAATATAGCAGTATAACATGCATTTCAAGGCCTTTCCTACATGCAGAGTTATTTGAGAAAAAGCTATTGCAGTTTCAAGTGATGCTCTGACTTAAATCGAGTTCACTTTCACATGCTGATATGCCCTAAATTATATTGGTGCCAAATTCTAGCTTGGGAAGACATTGCAGTAAGAGCATGATGTTTACCAGTTAAAATATAAATTGAGGTGGAGGTTTTCCTGTTGGCCTTTTCAGAGGACAGTCAGAAACTAAGGAACAGTACTTACCTCCCTGAGGTCTTAAAAAAGCAGCAGGTAACCTCTGGACCCTTAGCTGTGTTTTCTGCAACTTAAAGGAAAGCTCTCAGATATTTCCCCTCAGAGGAAGTTCAGGTGCTGAACTGGGAAGCTGCAACAATCATCAGCAACAGGGATTGAATGATCAACACTAGTAGACTGAACGGCTCTGTTTATTCCTAGTGCAGGATAGCATAACTCTTCCTATCGCACCTCCCGGCTAACCCTGCCTCCTGGCTGCAGCTGCAACATACCTTTCACTCCCGCTAATGCAGCATTCTAGGGCTGACTGCAGGAGAGGGGCCAGGATCCCGCTCAGGAGCTCATCCAGGCCTGAGAGCTGTACCAAGTTCTTGATCTGCCTAGGGCTCAGTAAGTACAGAACCTGGAGGCAAGGAGATTTGTCTAGGTGTTAGGGAGGGTGCTACTCCTGAAAAGTTTTTATTGCTGGTGATAATGCATAAAGAGGAAAGGGACCAGCTGGCTTGGATTTTCAGTGGAAGCAGGTGTCTACCCTAATTTATTAACGCAAGGCTTCCAGATGACCTGGGAAGTAACATTAGCTCTAAATCTGCATTTATTGACTTGTTATAGTTTGGGCAAAGATTAGATTGGCTGTGAAATTTATGTCAAAGTATGTTTGTTTTTCTTTGAATGAAAACAGCCTTTCTGCTAACAGGGAAACTTTAGTGACTGTTTCTTTTTTTGTCTAAATAATTTCACTGAGAAACGTGGATTTCTCAAAGTGTATCAAAACAATGCTTTCAGAAATTTCTGTTGGGATAAAAATAATTTTTCCCCATGTTTCTTTAATTTTAGCAGAAATAAAAAGTGAAAAGGTCATGGGGACCAGAAGGAATTCCTAGCAAAGGGAAAATAAAAGTAAAAACTCCACAGAAAACCAAGGTTTTATTAAAGAAAGAAGGAAAGAAAATTTTTGAATGTGTGAATTTTCTTCTTCATTTCTTCTTCATTTCTTATAAAGTGTGCATCCTTTTCTTTAGCTGAACAGCTCTAATCCTGGTTTTACTATTATTTTGGACCTCTGCTTGGTTTTTATTAGTGAGTCATTATAATTCTGTCTCTTTTTTTTTTATAGCTTTTCCAGCTGTAGAGATGTATGAATAAAGTGAATATCGCCTCTTGTGGAATCCTGGAAAAAAATGCCTTTTCCAGAAAGCTGCAGACACTTGTGAAGGAAAGTGGATGTTTCACATCTGAGCAACTTCCAGTCAGGAACAGTAATTGGATCACAGGAGAAGCGCACTATCCTTTCCTGATGCCCTTCTCTGGTGACTTTTAAGGTCGGTTCCTCAGCAGTTGGGGGAATTGTGGGTGGCATTTACTGTGGTTGCCTTACTCTTGGCATGATGGCCTACATGAGCCTGTCACAGCCACAGGCCTCTGTAGGAGCACAGTCTTCTATGTTCAGCAACAGAGGAGTTGCCAGCTGTGAGGTCTGGAAGGGACAGAGCACAATGCTTTGCTGGGAGTGCTGCTCAGTCACGTTTTCCCTCTGAAAACGTGCATCAGTGAGTAACAAAGATAGGGATGCAGCAGGAGTAACACTGTTTGCAAATAACAAAATGAGCATCTATAAACTACTTTAAGGACAAGGCTCACAGTCTGAACAAGCTGCAGAGTGCCAGAATTTTGCTGTCTTGGTGGGTCTGCCTTTCCCTCACTCACATATGCCAGCTGCTAAACATGACTCATTTCACCTCAGAAGGCTGTCTTGCTGCCTTGGCAAAGCCTTACTGCTTGGTACCTTGATGGTAGGGTTGCTTCATTTCTTAAGGAAAGGAAGCTGAGCCATGGCCGTTACATTTGTTGTTCTTGTTCAGCTACAGAGAGATTTTTTCAAGAAGTTCAAAAGGAAAAAGGGTTGTGAAACATCTCGTGCTATTTTGTGTGCTGCTGTAGAGCTCAAAAAGCGTCATCTGAGCTGTCTAGTCCTCATCTAGTTTCAGCTTTCTGACCTTTGGTCCTGGTGCTGCAGAGTAAGTGTAGAATGACCCCACTTCAATCACGGGTGTAAATCCCCCCAAATGAGCACAATTAGCATATGGTAAATGCCAGGGTACTTCCCTCAACTATTCTAGTGAACGAGTTGACTGGCAGTGACCTGGTGCAAGCAAATGTGAGGGCATTTTTGCAGAGGGGGAGTTATGAATTAGAAAGATAACTTGTATAAACACAGTGTTATGGTTTGGTCTCCTTTAATGACTGAAGTAAGGAGAAATGTGAATCTGTTGCTTGCTTTGTGCTGAATCAGGTCTTCTAATTTTAGTGGAAGAGGTTCCTCCTTTTACACCAGAGGTCCAACCAAGGGCATTGAATTACTGCAGTATCCCCCGTGGCCATCTGGTAATAGGAGTTTGTCTAAATGGTATATTGCATGCAGACATGCACTTGCTCTGCCAGAGCTCTTGATATCGGATATCTAGACCAGCTTTAATTGAAAAGCTACGTGACTGTCATGAAAGCAGAGCAGAATCCAACTTCATACATGTCAGCACCGTCATGTCTGCTGGAAGAAGCACACCTCAGCCCGTGGTATGCCTTATAGACATACCTCCAGGGTTGCCTTCTCTTGAATTTGCCCAGACCACAATTCATCAGGGAGATTACTCAGTGAAAGTCAGTCAGATTTGGGAACAAGGAGTAAACTGGAGAAGAATCTGGATCTGCTGGCTGCCAGTTCACAGGATGGAAGAAACACTGGCTTAGTAAACAGTTCACTGCAAGTTATTCTCACAGCACTGTCACAAAGGCACTATTGCTGTCAGAGATGCTAGTGAGAGTGCATGTCAATCATGGAGCTTTACTGCTGCACGTGTTCCCATTTCAGCTGGGAGATCAAAGTCTCTTTCCTTCAATTCATTTGTGTTAAGGCAGCCAGCTCCCATGTGAAATCCTAGATATCAGTGGTAGAAATGATGCACGAGATAAATGAATGTGAGTAAGCCCTCGGGAGGAAGTGTATCCCTGACATTGTAATGACAGTGTGCTGAGTTTTAGCCAAAGGGTGGAAATCTTGGAAACATATACTAAATGAAGGAAACCTGTCTGAGAGTCAAGTCTTTATATTTAAAAAATTATGATGATAAAAGCAAGTGTGATGCTGGAAATTAACTAGAAAAACCCTTATTTCCTCAAAACTCAGGGTGGTTCAGAGTTTGACCCAATTTTAGAGACAAGGTACTTGTCTTAAATACCAGATCTAGACTTAATTTGCCACCAGATCTTGGATTCTGGTTTATGGTCAGTTCTATATGAATGGCCAAAGGCAAATGCCTCAATAAAATTGTGGCCTTAATTTTTCCTGCTAATTTAATTAGGAGCTTGATTTAGTTTTGGGGCAGGACACAAAGTGGATTACAGGAGCAGCTGGCTTTTTAATTAGGGCCATTTATCTTTTGTTAAAGTTTAACCTTTACTTGCACAGAGAGAGGCAGTGACAGTGAGGGGTATAACTTCAGCAACGTGTGTTTGTGTGCAGGCTGTCTCTGTCAGGTCAACTAGGTATGCGCAAGACTGCGTGACTGGGAGCGCGAATCTCACTGCAGCGATCCCAAAGCACCAACTGGCAACTGTGCGATATGGTTATTTATAGAAGCCAGGAACTAGAGGGTAGAGTATTTAGTTAGACTCTTGATGCTGGCTGGTTGTGTGGAAAGCCTGAGCCCCCACCCTTTCTGCAGCAATTTATAACTAGAACCTTAATCTCTTCTCCTTCTCCCTCTGCTCACATACACATTCCCCAGGATTAATTCTGCTGAAAAGGGGCATGGCCTGGGTTCAGGCTCTCCGGCACCTTCTGGTCCCAGATCATCCCAGCAGGTGCCATCCCTTAGCATGCTCTGCCCTTGGCCTCTCATCCTTTATTTTAACAGAATGGCATTCAGAGATAGAAATCCTACACTCCTAGGGTGCGTGAAGGGTAGTGGGATGAAAATGCCATTGCTCTGATGGATAGATAGGCTTGTTTGCAATGACGTAGGATGGGACAAAGCAGTAGATGGGAGTTGTTGAGACACTTGGATTCATTGCTAAATTGGTTGAAAGATGACAACTGTGCTGTTCTGCCTGCTGACAAGGTACAGCCATCCCTACTGAAAAGCTACCTCTGTTATACTGCAGTAACTCTATAAATCCTGCCATCCCCCACTCCCTTACTTTTTTTTTAACCAGTAAAACAGATCTTTATCAAAGGAAACTGGAAGGATGCTGTGTGTTCATCAGCTCGGTGCCTCTCATCACAACCAGCAACTAAGAAACTCGTGCTCCAGGAGGAGGTTCCTCCTAGCCTAAATGTGGGAGCTGTAGCAACACCATGTGTTCTACTCTGGAGACTGGCTGGTATTAGCAGAAGTGGCTGCAGCCTGGGATGACTGGGTGGCAGTTAGCACTGGTGGGATGTATTAGCACTTGTTCATGAGGCATGTGCTCGTTAACAAGGCACACAGCCCTACCTGTTGCATCTTGTGGAATGGTTTTAGCGCACCATGTCCCTGTACTCTTCCCCCCCCTCCCCCCCCAGCCTCCCTTGCTTGCTCTCACCCATTATGGACACTGCTGGGGCCCTGCATCCCCAGTAGGAAGGACTGGGGGAAGCTGGCATCCAGGCTGGTCCTGTAAGTGGTGAAAGTCAGGTAAATGGCAAAGTTTGTCTCTGAGCAATAGAGAGTAGCGTGGGAAAGAGAACAAGGTCCTTTGTAGGATGGCTTGGTATGGGCATGTATACTGTTTTGGCATGTGAAAAGAGAGGGGTTAAAAGCAGCACAGCCTAGAGATTTCGTCTGGTATTTGGGAAAGGCAGTCTAGGGCAAACAGTGACTATTGCAGAAGTACTAAAGCCCCAGTTGCCCGTCTCTTTGCCAGCTGTAGTTCGGCTTAGCAGTGCGGCTTCTCTATGCAATTGGTGAGAACAGTTAGACAGCAGCAGGCATTGCTGTCATTCTAATCCTTCCGATCCAGGAAGGTAGTAGCACCTCCCTGTCTTGTGTATGTTGGACTTGTCTCTGATAAGAACGCAGGCCTTTTCCTTTGCTGGAGTATTTTATATGGCAGTTGAGAACCCTGTTGTCTGCCTCTGTAATGGATTTTTCTTTTGCAATTTCCTGTCCTTGTTGCTTCCTGCCAGGGAGAGGTGGACGCATCAGAGATAAGATCCTTAACTTCTGGGCAGGTTGAGCAGCTGATGGGACAGCAGATTTCCACAGGTGCCTCCTCTTCATTCCTGCAGCATCTGCTGTCAGGGCACTATCTCTCTGGGATGGCATGCCAAGGTTCAAGAGCAAATTTCTCTCTCCATCTTGCTCTTCAGCTGGAAGAGGTGTAAGAAGGTATCCCTATACTAATGGGAAAACTGAGGCTGAGACTAAGTAGCTCGTTCAAATTTGTGCAGGGGAACTTATCCTGCAGCCAAGAGCTAACTATAGGGCACCATGCAAAGGGATATATCTCCTGGAAGAAAATCCTCAGCACAGCCAGGCAAAAAGCTTGCACTGTATGTACCTTTTTATTCTCAAATATATATATATATATTACATCATTTTAAAACAGAATATTTGTGAAAGAAACTTTCTTCTGGTAAAAGCAACACACTGTGTTCCACACAGACCCCTTGCCTGCTGTTTAAAGATGGCTTGCACAGGGGGAGGACTGGCTTGCAGACAGAGCTCATTCCCCTTTTCCTCATCACCACTGGGACCACCTGGGGTCTACTTCCTTCCTCTCCTCCTCCTCCTACTGGAAAAGAAAGGCATTTACCAGTCCCTCCCCTCTGGAGTCAATGCAAAGCATGGTTTATTGTTCCATCATGTACCCTGTCCTCTTCCTGCAGGGCTGGGTGAGACAAGGGATTGCTGGAGGAGCACAGAAAGGAGCTGGGGAATGAGCTGTGTGGAACACCATGGACTTTCATACTGTGACAACAAGCAAGGCAGAACCAGAATTAATAGTGACAGTATGACTTCAAGTATACATGTAAAACCTATCACACACTCAGAGCTTCACAGAAGGGTGCCACCAGTCCTGACCACTAAGAGACTGGTCTCTCTTGGGCAGCGCTGGCCCCTGCCAGCCAGAGCTCCAGTACACCCAGTGTTTGGCAGGGATGGCTTGGCTCTTGTCTCACAGCATGAGAAATGGCTATAAAGAGGTGGAGGGGGCAGACAAGCAAACTCTTGGCTCAAGCAGCTTCCTCCATCCAGAAGGAAAGAGCTGGGAGAGAGTGGGAGTATAAAATGCCCTCAACTAGGCTCAGTAAATGAGACCCTTCAGACACTCATCTCTCTTCTATGCAATGATTATAACCTTCTGAATTAGATTCCCCCCCCCATCCCCTTCAAATCACATGCACTTCTACTTGAACCAACAGTTTTCTGGACACCTCCCTGCACTTTGTTCCCTTTATACGTCTCCTGGGGTAGCCACTGGCACAGAGAAATCCTCAGCTGACAGGAACCCCTCTTTTTCTTCCTGCAGTCCTTGATGTGTAGGGACTCAGCAGAGAGAGCTACAAGCAACAGTGTGGGCATGTGGCCTCGAGTGGGGATGCCCTGACTTGCATCCATTTACAGCTCCTCCAGGGCAGAGAACTGCAGAGTGGAACCACCTGCACCCCTCTCTGCTGTTTCTCAGACACATCCCAGCCTTCGCTGGGCACCGGGATGCCAAATCCACCTCGTGTAATGGATTCTGGGAGTAAGAAGAGAAGGGAAATAGCACAAGCCTTTGGTTCCTCTCCCTTCCCAGAGATGCTGGTACCAGTGGGTGCAGCTAAGCTGTGAGCATCCCAGAGAGCCACTCCTTCCTTAAACACAACCCCAGCTTGCTCACTGATCCTAGCAAAATGGCATGCCTGTTCAGCAACTGTCCACTGACCCATTAGTGATTTAGGTAGCCTTGCTCTAAGTGGGAGTGCACTTTCCTTCCAACCTAAGTGATTTTGTGAACCGTCTGGGGTTATCCTCTCCTCACGAACAACCATGGCAGAGCCTTCTCCTCATCTCCTGCCCTCATTTTCCGGTTGAGGGTTGCCTGCTGCTGTTTCCCTTGCTCGCCAGGGGAACGAGCCAAAGCCCCAGGGGCAGCCATGCCCCAATAGCACCACAGTGACTAGGAAGGTGACAGTAGGAGAGCCCTGCTATTCAGTGCATCAGATGGTCTAGTTTTTGTACAAGGTGCAATATGTGATGAGGTTGATGGTTAAACCAAGTGTAGGTTGGATGAAAATATTATAGTTGATCAGGTCTTTATCCCATCCCTGTGAGGAAAGTCTGGGATTATTCTAAGAACCTAGTTTTATCTAGAGCTCTTATTTCTGTAGCAGAAACACTTTTTTTTTTTGTAAAAGGAACGCCTGGTTCCGTTCCCAGAAGTGAAAGCCTTCTGCATATAGTCAAGATGGCCTAACGTACCTCATCCAGGCCCCCTACCTGAACTCTGCCAAGTGGGGCTTCGAGGTAGATACACCTTGTGGCTCTCTAGAAAGGGCTCACCAACTCCTTCTGACATCATCAACTTCTGGGGAGAGCCAGGCCTTCTCATCTTAGTCTGCCTTGGGCCCACCAAATCCAGAGGGGAAGACCCTGCTTTAGCCTGTTCCTGAGCACTTGGTACTTTCCCAAACAGCAGTCAGATGCAAACCCAGTGATACTCCCTTTGCTGTGCGTCAGAGCACAGTGCAAGCTGGGTCGGAGCAGTAGAGCCCACAGCTGGTGAGCACCAAGGTCATCTGGGCAAAGAGGGGGACCTGCACAAGGGTTTGCTCCTTCGGTGAGAGTTCAACCCCTCTGCCCCTGGGAGCCAGCACCTGGGTGGCCTATATCTGCAATGCTGTTGCCATCCAGTGACAGGACACAGTACTACAGACTAGTCACCACATTCCCAGTTCAAGCTTTTCTCCACTTGGAAACCAGTGCCAGGGAGGGTTGTCCACTTAGGCTAGGAGAGGTGAGCAGAGCAAGACAACATGCTGATGTCCTGAGATAACCCTCCCTGCAAATCCCCTGAGAAAATGTGTACAAATGGAACCTTTCCTTTGTTACAGCACCTATTTTTAAAGTTTCCTTCTTCATTCTGGTATCATAGACTTTAGCAGGGCTTGATCATTTAACATAAAGCTGGAAAATTTCCATTTTTTTGAAAGTCTGCTAGCCTTACATCTGAATTTGGTTGGCAAGGTGAAACACCTTGTCTGGAAGATGACAGTAAGTTACAAGCAGCATGGCTTTCCATGGGAGCAGAAGTTCCCTCCAAACCGTTAGAGTTCTTGGAGTGTGTCAGTAAAGTAGTGAATGAAAGGACACGCTGATGTACTTCTCTTTTTTCTCTTTCCAAAGGCTTCTGACAAAGTCCTGCCAGAGACGACAGCTAGCCTAGAGGACAGTGGCATGTGTATAACGGGGCTGATTAAGAGAAAAGGAAAATAACTAGCAGTTCACTTTTGTTGTGGCAAAAAGGCTCCATCTGGTGGTGTTTTCACCCGGACCAGAAGGTAAGCTGTTGGGATGGGAAACTCTACAGGTGACACTAAGTTACTTAGACAAGTTCAAACCAGAGAAGAGCTGGGAAATCTCAAGACCTGTTAAAGACAGCTGAATAGGCAGCATGATGATAAATGAAGGGGTGTGTGGATAAATGCAAAGTAATGCACTTGTAAAAATGCAAAGTAATGCACTTGTAAGGGGACAAGTGAAATATGTGGATGGATGCTTTAGTACTCAAAAGTATCAGCCCAGCTGCAAAACCTGGGCACAGACAATCCACTGGAGATTTGTGCTGCTCAGCACAAAGGTATAGCAAAGAAAGCAACCGAAACAAAGAGATACATAGAAGAGGAATATTAGAGCAAATATTTTAATGCCTTTCTAGTGAGCACAGTCTGGGGCACTCCACCGGGAAAAGGGATACTGCAGAAACAGTCAGGGTCAAAAAGATAAGCATAGAAAGACCCTGGTACAGAAAAAGGCTGGAAAGTTTGCTAGTCTTATGTTAAAAATGGGCAGGAATGTGAGGGACATGATAAATGACAGAAAGTTATGGCTGGTCCTGCTAAGCCTCTGCAGCTGCAAAGAGAAAGGAAATAAGCTGTACTACATGTCCTATCCAAGCCCAGTAATAGGACAAGTTTAAACTGAAACCACGGATAGACATTGAGGAAAAATCTGCCTGAAGGTAAAGATTAAGGTAGGAATCAGTGACATACAGAGGCAATATTGGAGATTTTTAAAAATAGGTTAGACAAATGTCTATC